CAACATTGTTAAACTATAATTTAATTGTAGATTTTACTGTAGATAATTAAACAGTTTTAATATAATAACTATTCAAATTAATAACTTGATACGAATCCCATTTCTCTAAAATTTTTGTTTAATTCAAGAAATTTCCACAATATAATATAGTAAAATTTCATGAAATTATACCTGCAATATACACTAATCTTCGCTAACGGAAACGGCTGCAGGTAATAGAAACTGCATCTCGAATTTGGAAATTATATTTAGTTGGGAATCGCATTTCAAATGTATATTCATATAATCTTCTAATAAGAGAAAATTTCAAAATAATTTCACCGTAAATAGTATGCAATGTAGTACCAATATGTGAATGCACCCAGTTTTTAATTAATAATAAAGTTAAAGTTCGCTTACTTGTGTTGTTAAACATTACATATAAAAATTCTACGATCAAACGCTTTGCGTTGACAGAGTTTATGTATTGCAGAGACAAGCAGTTTAAAAACAAATTTTTCTTAAAAATATGGCGGGCTTAACTTTGAAACTAAATTACTTCAATTTCAGCGTAGAGAATATTTCTCGAATAAATAGATATCTGCCGATAATGACATTAAAAAGTTGTAAAATTAAAAATATTGGCAGCACTCGCTATTTATGGCAATGCTTAATGAATGCGCATAATTGACTTAAATAATACCAAATTTATTCATGAAAATATCAGCGATATTGACGAGTGCATCGCTTGCTCCTATTTCAGCAATATTATCACGAGAAACATCTCGTATTCACAACAAATAATTTATTAAAAGCGCGCACATGGAATTGCGATCTAATGATGATATAATTAACTGCGTATGTAATTCAATACGGAACTGCGATAAAATTCTATAAGAAATACGCGACATGAAAAAAATACGGCGATTAACAAATATTTCAGGTGTTTGAGATAATCGTTCATCGCGTACCATAAATACGATACTAATAATCTTTAACCGTGATCGAAAATTGTATAATCGAGAGAACGCGCGCTCTCTCTGCCCACCGCTATTTTATCTGCATACAAAAGCGCAAAATCGCGCGTGCGTTGCTACACGAGGCAAGATTGGCCTCGGGGTAATAATGTTACCACATCGCGCAACTCGGGACTGTAATGCTTTAACGCGCAACGAATTAAAAAATAGCCAGGATGATCTTCCGGAGAACAAGAGGAGCATCAGCGGCGTGCGGAATTTCCACCTAACGTATTATCCCCCCCGGAATATAAAGCGAACGAAAAGAGCGGAGATATGTAAGCTACCTTTTCGAGTTACGCGAAGCACGATACGAAACTCAATTACACAATAGCTCAGCTCTTATCCGGTTACACCGGTAGCTTATTCGTCTTAAGGGTCGTCAATATCCACATAAGCCGGGTCGAACCGTGACGTCAGAAACGGGAGAAATACTCGCGAACGATTCTTGCAACTTATGTCCACGCGAGTTACTCTTTGTCAACAAAGCCATTTTGACTCGATAAAGCGGGACCATGAAATGCCACCAACTCTATCGTTAGCCTAGCATGTCAAGCGGAAATGCAGGTTTCTCTTCTAGAAAGGTTTCTCGACAACTACTATCAACTTTCATCATATTCATAAATAAGATTTCTTCTTCAGTAAATTATTTAAATTAAATTTTTATTTTTGACGCTCGAGCGGCAAAAAATGAAAATTTGTATAGAAAGAAAAATTTCGAGCAAATAACAATTTTAAAGGAAATAATGCCACAGAAATAACTCCACTGGAAAAATCCAAATTCCAAATATTAAAAGATTTTAATTTTCTTCGACATTTGAATTAATTAAAACGTTGCCCAATCTTTTATCCGGTAGACCGTATACACAAATGGTCAAATAATATCATAAACTATTTTACATGCTTTATATAAAGCTCTTTAAACTCAGCACAAAATCTTTCAATATTGTCGCAATTCATCAATCAGAATCAACTATTCTGATCGAATTGCGACAATATTGAAAGATTTTGTGTTGAGTATAAAGAGCTTTATATAAAGCATGTAAAATAGTTTATGATATTATTTGACCATTTGTGTATACGGTCTACCGGATAAAAGATTGGGCAACGTTTTAATTAATTCAAATCAACTATTCTGTATTACTCTATTAAAATGAATGAATTAATTAACATAAAAATTAATTAAAGTTAATATAAAATAAACTATTACTATTAATATAACTATTAATATAAAATGGAGAATTATGCTTTCAATCCCAATAGATATTCTCGCGAATTTTACACTGCTTACACTATCCGCGCTATCTATTTTTCTTCCTCCTGCGGGAAATTCGTCCAAAATTCGCGTACATTAGCGTTACGTTGAAAGCGCAAGAACATTAATCTATTATCGCTTTATCGTCTATATTTTCCCCATAAAATGATATTCGTTGCGTTTCCGTTTGATCATCCACGTGCAAAGATAAACGATAATCTCGACGAGGCTCACGATGGATTTATTTATAATAAATGGCAAGATAGAGAGGGGTTTAACAACTTGTTCAATGCGCTTACGCGCAACGTGTTTCTGAACTGGAAAGTTTTAATACAAAAAGTACGTAAGCTTAAAATAATTAAAAAATTTTTATTTAATCACATTTAATTCGTTTTTTACTTCGGCTGTATTAAATAAAATTGAGAAGCATGTTATCGGTTATTTTTAAATACTATTTCAATCCTTGATAATTATTAATTTGTAGTTTCGTTCAAAAGGACGTTTATTTGATTTTCCATGCATAATTTAAGCAGACTGAACGCAAAGAATTTCTCGACTATTCAAGAACGCTTTCGATGGTAAGATGAATAATTAGATGAATAATTAGGCGAAGGGCGGAATAGCGCCGTAAAGTGAAGTAATCCTGAACCTTGCCGAGCCCGTTTAAGTGTAACGAGTTTAAAACTCGGTGTGTAACTATTTGCATTCCCTTAGTATAATCTATCTGATGCATATTACTCGTTTATACGCAGATTTCATTTATGTAATATCGATATTTCATTGATAACCTGCAGTGATCCCTTCTGCAATTTTAATTTGAATATCTTCGTTAAAAATTATTAAGTGAGAATATATTTAATCTTTTATTTTATATGTAAAATATGTAATATGTATCCAAACTTTTTTTATTAAACTGTAACGAGACATTATGTGCGTATACTATAAAAATTTACCTTTACTTTTTTAATATTATGATAGTTTATTCTTGCATTTTTATCACAGATAAAAAGTACGTTTCATATATCATATCTCAGAATTTATTACCTATAGGAGCAATTTGTGCAACCATAAAATATATATTTCATATAATTCATATAATTATAAACAATAATTTGAGTTAAAATAAATAAAGAATATTTAATGTCTAAATATATTTTGAAACAAAGTATTTGATATCGAGGTCTCTGTGAAATAAACATTTAAAATCTAACAATAATGTGATATGATTAAGTTAGTAATTTTTATTTGAATATCTAACTATATCAAACAGAAAACGCGGACGCTTTTTTACAAAAAGATATAAAATTTATATATAATGGAATATAAATTATTCAATAAAAAGGTTTAATTAAATATGCATGCAGTTGTAAAAATATAAAATAAATGATTAAAATATGAAGTAATTTTAATAGTCAAGGGCCAAAAATCGTATCAATTTTAGTATTATTTTAGAAATTCTTCGCCACATTTTCAAGAAATAAAATTTTATCGTTTAGTATACTTGCTAATTATACAGTTAAAACGTCTTGTATCTTATAAACTCAGTTTTCTAGAAAAATAATAATCTCACCATCAGTTTTCAATTTTAAACTCGTCAAAATTTTGAAGCATAAAAGGCAGTGCAATAACAGTCTGGATAATAATCTACATATTATTATAGAAGTAGCTATACAGAGCGCACGTTCTTTGACTCGCGTCTTAAAAATTCCCGGTGTAAAGCTCGTGAGATAAGCATCGGCAAATTCAATACTCCCTCATGTAAACGAAATCGAAGAACGCAGATATTGCCGGAAAATGTACCAACCGCACGATTTTGTCGCGTTTCTCGAATAACTCGTGCGGCCATCATCGCCCACAGACACACACCACAATTATTCAGATCTCTTAATTCACGTAATTCACACCTCCAGTCCTGTAACGTGAAGGAATGACGTCGTCGCTGTTCGCATATTCCGCGCAAGTATTTCGCACCTATCTCACCGACCATGCTCGCCAATCTCTTCTCGAGGTGCACTGCCGAGCAACGTGAACCTTCCCTTGAATACAGATTACTCGAACACTGAATTTTCCTCATCAAAACTCTAAATGGACGGCGCGTCTCGTTGCATCTCCCTCTATCTCTCACCGCCTGTCGTCGTT